CTCTCTCTCTCTCTCTCTCTCTCTCTCTCTCTCTCTCTCTCTCTCTCTCTCTCTTTCTTTAAGGCAAAGTTTCATTATGTAGTTCAGGCTGGGCTTTTGCCCAGAGTGATCCTCCTGCCTCAGTCTCCCGAGGACAGCTGAGAAGTAGTCTTAATCCCTAGATGTGGAATGAATCTTACTTCTGAGCCCAGCAGGAAGAAAGTTACTGTTTTAAAATCAGTCCCGAATTGGTCAGTGCAGAATGGCGGCAAGCAGGCACCCGTGGTGTGGGCTGAAGCTTGGGGAGTGCAGATTGCTCAAGCAGGGAGCAGACATAGGCTTGTCCTAGTGAGGGACGAGTGCTCAAAGCTGTCTGCCCCAGGGAACATAACTGGCAAATAAGGTAAAGGTGTTTGGCACCATGGGCTTTAGTTGTTTCTGAGAGTCTCATCATTTAGCTCAGGCTGGCTTAGTTCACTTTGTTTTTGCTGAGTTTTTGGGTTTTTGCTTTGTTTTTTGAGACAGGGTCTGACTCTGTAGTTCAGGCCAGACTCAGGACACATGGTGATCCTACTGCCTAGGCTTCCCAGATACTGGGATTGCATGGGCACACACCTCCACGCCCAGCTTGAAGCTGCCCTCCAATCAGCTACAGAGCCTGGTAGATTTCAAACATGCAGCCCTCCTGTGTCAGCCTCCTTAGCACTGGGGTTGCCAATTTGCATCACTGTGCTGGTGACACCATGTTCCTTAAATGCAAGCCCACCGCTAGGTAGAGTCAGTGCCCCCCAGAAACAGGTGGAAGGTGCTGCTAGTTACCCCTGCTTGTGTGTTTAGTAGAAGGAGCAACATGTGGCACTTCTGTTTAGTCCTTTTTTTTTTGAGATAGAGTCCTTGCTAAATCACTAAGTTGCCCTAGCTTAGTTCATGGGGATCCTCTTGCCTCAGCCTCCCATGGTGCTGGGCTTACAGGTATGCACCAACATGCCCAGCAGTTTAGCCTCTTCTTGAGCCTCTGGGGAAATCCCTGAGGTCCCAAGCCATTTGGAGCAGGTAGCTCACCTGCTGTCCATGTCCTCCACACACAGCTGAGTCCTCAGGCACCAGGGCTTGGGTTGGGGTGCACCTTGACACGCTCAACCCAGGGCTCCCTTCTGGTAGGAACCAGTCTCACGTCAGCCCTTGTGATGCACTGCGTGGGTATCCAGCTCACCACACTGTGCAGTCCACCTGGGTGTCGTGCAGCTTGTCCCACATGAGTGTGTGGTCCCGTAGGCTGGCCAGCCTTGGAAAAGCAGTGTCTGCACCTCCAGCAGTTCCTCTGGCAATGACCGCTGTCCATGGCGCCTGATTTCCAGCAAACTGCCCCATCTCCATCTTACATTCTCACCTGGGAACTAATGACATGTGGCCCTCAAGTGTCTCCCTGGAAGATGCATTACTCTCTGTGCAGACTGTGTTCCAGTCCAGGCGTGTCCACATGTGTCCCTTTTCACCCCGCAGCTGTCTTGGAGTTCCCAGGGGTCTGCCACTAGCTGACAGGTCTGAGGGAGACTGACTGAGCCCCTTGGCAGGCAGCACTGGCAGGGCACAGACTGGGGCAGCCCTTGCTCCCCTGCCCTTCAGGGAAGGCAGTTAGACCCCCGGGTGGAAACTCACAGGGGTGTTTTCGAGGGCCTGGCTTTCTTTCCCAAAATGTAATAGAGGCTCTGCGTACTTGTTTTCAGGTAAAAGTGGGAGACACATTGGATCTTCTCATTGGAGTGGACAAAGAAGCAGAAACAGAAGCAGTAATGCGGATTCTGCTAAAAAAGGTGTTTGCAGAGAAGACAGACAGTGACAAGAACCAAATGGTGCTACGAAGGTGGAAGAACTTAAAGCTGCCTAAGAAGAATCCATCAAAATGAGGGCATTACTTTTTAGCTCTGAAGCTGCTTTTTAGTGGTAGGAGGAGAGGCCACATAAAAAGACATTTTTATCAGAATAAAATTCTCTTACCATTTGTGGAATCCACTGAGCATTCTGTGGAAACTGAGTCTCACGTCTGCAGCCCCTGGCCAGCCAGGCTTTCCATCCCAGGGCCTGTGCCCGCACAGGCAGCATAAGGACACTCTGCTGGTGTGGGGAACACGGGGGACCAGGCCCACTGGGGCTTCCCACCTCAACTGCCCTGCTCCTTGGTGGGCTTGTTTGCAGTGCTGGAATGGAACCATGGGGTTGCTGAGCTATGCCCTCACCTTTCTGTCTTATTTTATTTTTTATGTTTTTAATACAGGGTCACTACGCAGATCAAACACATAGTGATCCTTCCTACTTTTCAGCCTCCCAAGCGCTGGGATTACAGGTGCACACCTCCATGCCCAGTCCAGTCTCATTTGTGGTCTCAGTATACCCCAGGAGCGGGGCCAGCGCCAGCACAGCAGGCTGGGAATCAAACCTCTATCCCCTGCATCTGCCTAAACAGGTGTTTTAATCCACTGAGCTATCTGGCCAGTCTTCATTTTCTGTTTTGCAGACCCGGGTCTATCAGTTTTGCTCTGACTGCCCTAGTGTCTGGTCTCCCAGGTGGATTACAGGCCTGTCCCACTAAGCCCATCTCTTAGCACCTTTTCTTAGGAGTGCCATGGGACCAGCTTCCCAGGGTTCAGGCTTCATACAGCAAAACTAAGCAAAGTCAAGGTCATTGAAGTCATTTGCCCTTCAGATGATTATGAAAGTGCCCTTTCTCCACACTGGTCTTTGGTCTAATGAATTACCAAGTTGGTGCTGTTGGTTCCCTTCAGTTTTCAGAAGTCTGGACAGGTTCCCACTCATTCTAACTGATTAGGCCAGGCATGGTGGTACATACCTATAATCCCAGCACTCAGGAGGCTGAGGCAGGAGGATCAAAAGTTTCCTTGTCTCAGAAAAAAAAAAAATGGGGCTGGGGAGATGGCTCAGTGGAATAAGCACTTCCCTGGCAAGCGCAAGGCCCTGAGTTCAATCCCCGGTTCTGCCAAAAAAAAATAAAAAGAAAAAAAAAAAGCTAAAGCAGCCAGAAGCTTTAGTTAGAGTGACCCTCAAGCAGAACAGTTACACATTTTTAAAACATTCATTAAAAAAATATAAGGCCAGGAATGTAGCTCAGCAGCACAGAGCCAGCCTGCCTAGCAAGTACAAGGTCCTGAGCTCAATTCCTGGTACCCAAAAGAAAGATGCATATATACAGATCTTATGTGGCCTGCAAAGTCTAGAATACTTGCTATCTGACCCTAGTCAGCTAGGGCTTTGGGGCCAGGAATATAGCTCAGTGGCACAGTGCCTGCCTGGCAAGCATAAGGTTCTGAATTGGTTCCTAGTACCAAAAACAAAAAAATTATCAAAGGGTTTAATTTTCAATGGGAAAGGGTTTAAAGTAAGAAACTGGATTTATATCAGAAGGAATAAACTATTCCCAGCAGCATCAGAGCTGGGAGCAGATACATGAGGCAGTGTTGCAGGGACTCACAGCTACTGCCTCTTCCCTAGAATGGGAGTGTCCCTGGCAGTTCTAAAAACGTCACAGTAGGGGGCCAGGGAGATGGCTCAGTGGAATAAGCGCTTCCTAGGCAAGCACAAGGGCCTGAGCTCAATCCCCTGTTCTGCCAAAAAATAAAAACAGTGCCTACTGTATTCTGACCCTTTATGGGTACAATTTCATTTAACTCCTGCATAGAGGTACGAGTAGTTACTTGGGTGCTCATTTTGTGCATGAAGAGCCCCTTGGACTCATGAGTGATTGGATACCTTCCTTCATGTCAACTTCTGGACCCTTGAAGTCCACCTAGTAGCCAATGAGAGCTATTTAAAAATAAGTTTTCAGGGGCCGGGGAGATGGCTCAGTAGAATAAGCACTTGCCTGGCAAGCACAAGGGCCTGAGTTCAATCCCCAGTTCCGCAAAAAAATAAATTAATTAAAATAAAAAAAAGTTTCTACTAAAAATATGAGATTTTTTTTCTCAACTATTCTGATATGCTGTACCTCACTGATGAGCAGCCTGCCCAATCAGCCATTCTGCGACCCTGGACCTGCTTGTGGCCTTCAGGAGGAGTAGCCCCACAAGGCTGTGTCACATTTCACCCCATTCATTACATACTGGCATGTAGGGGTTCTTTTATTTTTGGGGGGGGTTGATTGCTGGCCTCCAACTCAGCACTCATCCTGCCTCAAGCCTCTAGAGCACTAGGATTACAGCAGTGTGCCACCACACCCAGTGGGTTCTTTTATCTGCCCCTCTCAAGAAAAGTCTTGAGAAGTGAGGAAGACTGGCCATGAAAGGCAACCTCTATAAACCAAATCATTTGACATTTTAGGCCCATCTCAAAAGTCTGAAGTCTTTTTTTTTTTTTAATGCGGAACCAGGGATTGAACTCAGGCCCTTGCACTTGCCAGGCAAGCACTTATTCTACTGAGCCATCTCCCCAGCCCCAATCTGAAATCTTCTACCAGTTCATTTTTTCAGGAGACACAGGAAATTTTTTTTTTTTTTTTTTCAGTGATACTGGGACTTTAACTCTGGGCCTTCACAATGAGCTATATCTCCACCCTTTTTATTTTTTATTTTGACACAGGATCTTGAGGCTGGGCTCAAACTTGGCTGTTGGTTATTCAGACTGGCCTAGTGCTCACTGTGTAGCCCAGGCTGGCCTTCTGCCTCAGTCTACACACCCAGAAAACAAGGATTTGAGTTCAAAAAGTTAAACTCTCAGGAAGAAACTGTGTAGTATACAAAATTGTTTTACTACGTGCATGTTTGACTTTACATAGATAACAACACTATGCTTAATTTCCCCATTAGCTGAGAACTATAATTTAGACTCCACACACTTTTGCTCTCCTTACCGCCACCTTTCCCATTTCCCTCCTCTTGAGAGGCAGCAGGCCTAAAGCTAGGGGTGTAGCTCAGTGGCAGAGTACTTACCTAGCACGTATAAGATTCTGGGTTTGATCCCTGCATGGAAAAAAGTAATTTTTTTTTTTTTTTTTTGGCGTGGGGGAGTAGACTCAGGCCCAAGTGCTTATTCTACTGAGCCATCTCCCCAGCCTGGAAAAAAGTAATTCTTTAAAAAATAAAAACCTGGGGCCAGGAAGATGGCTTAGTGGAATAAGCGCTTCCCTGGCAAGCACAAGGGCCTGCGTTCAATCCCTGGTTCCATAAATAAATGAATAAATAAATAAATAAATACAAACAAACAAACCTGAGCAAGGAGCCTGGTGTGCTGGAGTATGACTAATCCCAACACTCAGGAAGCTGAGGCAGGAGGATTGCTGCTGCAGGTTTAGGGCCAGTCTGGACACAGAGTTCAGGGCCAGGCTGCACTACATAGTGAGACCCAAAAACACAGCAAAAAAAAAAAAAAAAAGCTGGGCACAGTGGCACATGCCTGTTATACTTTGGAGTGCTAGGGTGGGAGGATCACAAATTCTGGCCCACACAGCAATTTGGTGATTTAGTGAGATCCTATCTCAAGATAAAAAGGGCTAGGGATGTAGCTCAGTGTCAAGGCCCTGGGTTCAATGCCCAGTATGTTAAAAAAAAAAAAAGAAGAAGAAGAAAGCCTAGGAAGATGAGAGTGACAAAGGCAGCATAACCGTTTCATGGCAGGCCGGGGCCAGGCTCCTGGTTTCCCTGGTTCCTCGGCCCATTACTGCCGATAGCAAGCTGGTTCATCTTGATCACAGTTTGGCCCTAACCTCTTTCAGTCTCACTGACCTCCCCAGTCAAATGGGGAGGGACACTAGATCCATTGCCTGACATCTAAGAGGAAGTCAGAAGGTCATACAAGGTCATATAAGATGAATTGAGCAGTGGGGTCGGGGAGATGGCTCAGTGGAATAAGTGCTTCCCTAGCAAGCGCAAGGGCCTGAGTTCAATCCCTGGTTCCGCAAAAAAAAAAGATGAATTGAGCAGCAAAGGCCATTTGGAAAGCTGTTGGAGGTACTCTGTCCCTCAGCTCAGCATATTAGCAGGTTTGAGCCATTCTCAAATTCTGTGTTTTGTGGGAGTTTTTTTGTTTTGTGATTTTTTTTGGTACTGGGCATCAAACTGAGGGCCTTGCACTTTGCTGGGCAGGCATTGTGTCAAATTCTGTTTTTAACAATTAGGACCCACGAGATAGCTCAGCGGGTTCAATTCCAGCACCACATGCTGCACCGGGTGCTCTGAGCCGGCCACTGAGACTCAGTGTGGTGGTGCACGCCTGTAACCCCAGGGCTGGGGAGCCATCAAACAGGAGGATCGCTATGAGTCTGAGCTGCGTAGTGAGATCCTGTACCAAATACATTTTTAAAAAAATTAAGGGACAGGGGAGATGGTTCAGTAGAATAAGCGATTGCCTGGCAAGCACAAGGGTCTGAGTTCAATCCCCAGTTCTGCAAAAGAAAAAAAAAAAAAAAAAAGACAATACGTGTGCTTTGGGCCGGGGAGATGGCTCAATGGAATAAGCGCTTCCCTGGCAAGCACAAGGGTCTGAGTTTGATCCTCGGTTCCGCAAAAAAAAGTTAAACTAAGGCCCAACAAGGTGGCGCTCTTCCAGCTACTCATTCAGGTATCTGAGGCAGGAAGATCAAGAGTTTAAGGCCCACTAGACTACATGGCAAGAGCTTGTCTCAAAAAAAAAAAAAAAAAAAAAAGACAATACGTGTGCTTTGGGCCGGGGAGATGGCTCAATGGAATAAGCGCTTCCCTGGCAAGCACAAGGGTCTGAGTTCAATCCCCAGTTCTGCAAAAGAAAAAAAAAAAAAAAAAAAAAGAGGGGGAGGGCACAGGGAAATGGCTCAGTAGAATAAGTGCTTCCCTGGCAAGCACAAGGGCCTGAGTTCAATCCCCGGTTCCACCAAAAAAAAAAAGAGACCAGGCATGGTGGTACATACCTGTCATCTGAGCACTTAGGAGGCTGAGTCAGGAGAATTGCTGTGACAAACCTGGGGTACATAGTGAGCTCAAGACCAGCCTGAACTGCATAGTGAGACTGTGCCTCAAAAGACAAAAAACTAGGACATCCAATGACAGAGAATGTTAGTTTGGTCATACTGTATGTCAAGACCTGAATTTTCAAGGTTATCTACAGTGCAGAGGATTTGAAACATATCCACAGAAAAGTAGTACAAAGGAGCAATTCCTGAGGTGTATGGGACTCATGACTTGTGAATGACCTAGATGACAGTCACTTCTAAGATCCCAGCAAGACCTCCTCCTGACCATGTGACCAATGTCATGAAAAGATTAAAGAGGACATGTGAGCCTGATGCAACCTGGGTTCT